TGCCCTCAATCTCCTGAAATAAAAAAAAAAAAAAGATTGATGAGTGGGTATGCACCCTAAAGATTTAAAGTAGAGCTGACTGTTTCTTTTTCATACATAAAAATTTAAGTTTATGATTTCTTTAAGTTTCCTTATAAGATTATCTTTCAAGATAAGTAATAAAGTAATTGGTCCTTTCTTTGTAGCTGCAGAATGCAGCCTGCCAGTAAAAGAATATCTTGCCTGCTTACACTGTGTTAATCTATAACAAATTGCTTGAGTATGAACTTATGTGGGCTCTTGGGATAATTTGTTTTTCACCTGTAATACATAAAATGTTTAATCATGTAAAGGATATGGAAAACATGCTGGGTTTTTTTTTTTTTACTTGTATTCATTGTAATCATTCACTTGAAAAATAGAATGTAACCACTGCTGTGGGATGGCTTTCTGTAAGCCGTGAATATGTGTGGCTCCCATTGGATAATTAATAAAGCTGCATTAGCCTATGGCAGGGCAGGATAGAGCCAAAAGACATAGTGAAGAAAGCAGGAGTTGAGGAGACTCAAGCCCACCACCAAAGGAGCAACAAGATGTCAGCAGACTGGTAACGCTATGGCCATGTGGCAACATATAGATTTATAGGAATGGGTTAATTTTAGAAGAACTAGCCACAAAGAAGCTGAAGCCATAGGCTATATAGTTTGTAATTAATATTAAGTCTCTGAGTAATTATTTTATAAGTGGCTGTGGGACCTCGGGTGGGAGAGATCCGTCCAGACTGCAGGACCATGTGGGACCAGGCTGGACTGGAGAAATTTCCATCTACAAACCACTTTGTAATTTTTATATTGCCTGAAAGAATTTGCTGGGGTATATAAGCTGTAAGAGAAAGAATAAGGGTAGAGTAAAAATGAGTTAGAAGGAAAACATCAAGAACGAGAGAGTTAGAAGGAACTGGAAGGGAAGCATCAAGAATAAAGACAGAGTTGAAGGAAAATACCAAGGATGAGAGAATTAGGGGAACATTAAGAGAGTTAGAAGGAGAAGGAAAATATCAAGAGAGACAGAGGGACATTTCTAGATAGAGATAAGAAAAGAAAGCATAAAACACAGAATGAAGAATAGAAAATAATGAAGGAAATCATCAAGAGAGAGTGTATCTCTTTCCCTAACCCCCTCAGATAGAAAAGTCTAGTAAGCCGACTCCATGGATCCCTTTAGAGCCCTGTACTGCTGGAGCCCCCCCCCCAGGCCGCCATATAAATGGATATCCCATTTCTACTACACTGTTCATCAGAATAAATACTGTTTCCCATTTGAATTGGTGCCTTTTTTAATTTTTATTAATTAACTAAATTTGGGGAGGACATGGTGCCAGGTCAAACCCAGGGCTTTGCGCAGGCCAGGCAAGCACCTCACGGCTGAGTTCTTTCCCCAGCCCTGTCTTGTCACCATTGACCACTGAATATATACGCCTTTCTCCAGACTGTATTTGGTACCATATATGTGCTGGCCAGAACCATACCTGCAGCTATGTAGCAAATTATAGTATAATTATTCACAAGTGCTTTGGATATTCTTTGTAATTTAGGTTTTCCTATGATATTTGGAATGGACTTATCAATTTCTGGAAAAAAAAATTCTGGGCTATAAGTACATCTGACATTTGTATTTTAATCTCTGTGAGATCACCTCGCGATACTCACTTCCTATTTCTGGTAGTGTCTTTTGGGAATTCCTTTAGGTTTCTAGACATGAAATTATACAGTATGAAAAAAAAATTGTTTGGGGCTGGAGAGATGGTTCAGTGTGTAAGAACACTTGTTCTGATCGAAAACCTGGGTTCAAATCCCCTGTGCTCACATTAAAAAACAAAAACAAAAAACTGGGTATAGTTGCATGTCCCTGTTACATTGGCCTTGGGGATAACAGATTCAAGAGGTCCTAAGAACTTCCTGGCCAGCCAATCCAGACAAAACCAATCAGACTTCTGGTTTACTAAGAGATCTTATAGCTCAAAGCAATAAGGCAGACTCTTGACATCCTGCTCTGGCCTCTACATGCTGGTGAACAAACTTCATGCATGTGTATCACATACACACATTTATACACACATACACACACACACACACACACACACACACACACACACACACACACACAGAAAGTTACTTTTCCTTATTCTTTTATGATCTCTATGCATTTCCTCCTTACCTCTTTGTACTGGCATAAATAGCCTCCAGGACACTAAGCAGAAATGGCAAATACAAATAACCTTCTCTTGTTCCTCTCTGAGAAAAAAAGCAAGACGTCCACAGTTACGCATGACTCTTCCCATGCTGTTTCTCAGATGCATTGAGACTGAAAAACTTTTCTGTGGCTAAAATTGTTTCATCATGATTGAATGTCAAATTTTGGCAAATGCTGTTTCTGTATCTAGGTGAGAAATATTTTCTATTTTATCAGTGTGGTGGATCACATCGACTAGTTTTTAGTGTTAAACCAAACCTGCATTCCTGGGATAAACACAACATTGTCAAAATGTGTTATTGGGAATACAAGTTTTTGTTTCTTTATGTCTTAATTAAAGGGGTGCACTATAAAGCTGCTTGGAAGTTTTATTTATAGAAAGCTATTTAGTTTCTGCATTATATATTATGTGTAAACTTTTTATACTCTTTGGACTGGTTTTGATCATTTTGAAAGACATTATCCATTTTCTTTGGGCCTGTGGATTTATTCCCTTCATGGTGTCTACACTCTGCCATTGGCTGACGTTTTGTGAGATGTTCTTGCTTGGCTCCTGCTGCTGATTTGCGACTTCCTGCTTGGTCATTTAGAATGGACGTTTATCAGTTTCATTGGTCTTTTCAAAGAGCTAGATTTGAGATTAGTGGATTTTTCTCCTTTTATTCTTTCCCTGTTATTGGTTCCTTACTAATCTCTGCTCATTTTTCTCTCCTCCTGTTTATTTGGAATGAACTCCTTTGTCTCGGGCCAGGGACACAGTTCCAGGGCAGAGTGCTTGTTCAGCTGGAGGTGGCCCTGGGGTTGATTCCTGAAGCCACAAAACACAAACAAGCAAAACAAGAGAAACATTTCCCCTGCTGCTTATGGTAGAGCTTTTGATTACTATTTTTTCATCTCTAATCTAGTAACATCAATTTATATATAATACATATATAAAGTGATATTTTAGCTACATCTCACAGATTATTTCATTCTCATTATCATTCAATTCAGAACCAATTTTTCTCTGAGTATCCTTCTTTGAGTCATGTTTATGTATGAGACTACTGTTAAATTTTCAAATACTTGAGGAGGTTTTTAAGTTTCAAATATTCTAAAAACCCTTCAAGGTGCCAGAGTATACTCTGAGTAATTTCTTTTGTATTATAATAATAATACCTAGAAATAAAATAATAAAAATTATATGATTTATTATTATTATTAGCATTTTTGAGACAGGATTTCTCTATGTAGCCTTGGCTGTCCTAGAACTTGCTCTGTAAACCAGGCTGGCCTGGAACTCACAGAGATCTGCCTGACTCTGCTTCCTGAGTGCTGGGATTAAAGGCATGTACCATCACTACCCGGTATCTTATAATTATCATTACTTTTTAAAGATTTATTATTTTATGTTTTGTTTAATGAGGGTGGATTCCTGGTGCCTGCAGAGGGCAGGAGAGTTCCTCTGGAAAGAGTTACAGATGGTTGTGAGTTGCCACGTGGGAATTGAGACCTGAAACCTGGTTCTCTGTAAGGGCAGCCATTGCTCCGAACCGCTGAGCCATCCCTCCATCCTCTAGTTTTATAATTAGCCAAGTTTGTAGAACACAAAGCTGCCTGCTTTGGAAACATCCCAATGAGAATAATGAGGCCTTTGTCATTGCTGGGTATTCCATGACTGTGAGGCTTGACAAGCTGGTTGATACACAGTTGATTGCACCTCTAACCTTTATGATTTTTATCTTCTCTCAGTTACTCAGAGAGGAATGCTGAAGTCTCGGCCTATAATTGTGTGTTTCTCCTTTCAGAGACTTCTTTGGATAACAGAGACTGACTCTCAAAAGCATAGCTGTTGAAGAATAATAAGGGGTTGTGATCTGGGGGGGGGGGTGCCACTGTGAACCACAGATAACCCAGAGGACTGAGGCCAGGCAAAGCCTTTACATACATAGAGGAAATGTCCAATAGCTGTCTTCTTTCTCGCCCCCCCCCCACTTCCTGGAATCTTATACAGAAACTTTCTGTAGTTAAACATGGTTTAATTTTTCTAGAATTTTTAAAATCAGTATTTTGTTTATTTTAAATATATATATTTGTTTATTTTTATGTGTATGGATGTTTTGCCTACATATGTGTTTGTATGCTGCATGTGTGCCTGATGCTGGAGGAGGTCAGAAAAGAGGATTGGATCCCCTGGAACTGGAGTTATGGACGGTTGTGGGCTGCCATGTGGAATTGAACCTGGGTCTGTAAGAGCAGCTGATACTTTTAACTGCTGAACCATCTGTCTGGACCCAGAATCTCTTGGTAATTTCTTTGTTTCAAATTTGTGTGTGTGTGTGTGTACCTGAGTGTGTGTGTGTTTGTGTGTGTGTGTGTGTATGTGTGTGTGTGTGTATGTATGCCATATGTGTGGGGGTACCTGAAGAGCCTGGGAAGAGTATCATATGTTAATCCCACCTGACGAGAACAAGAGCACTACCACAATATTTTGAGCTAAATTTGAAGCAAGCTTTATTAAATACTGGCCAGGATGATGGACACTGGCCAGGCCCATTTCCAAGATTGCCAGAGACTGGCCACTAATTATGTTAGTCTAGTGCTTATAAAGTATGAACCCACAAGGCTACATACTTCCTGCCTTCACCCAACTGGGGGCAAGCACACGTCCTGACAGACTTCCTGCCCCAGTACCTCCTGCCTATGTGTGATCAAGCACATCCTGTGCAGTTGGGGCAACCAACCTTGTTTTCAAGAGTGAAAATATGTGGCTTGTTATTGGTTTTCAGGAAGACGTCCTTCAGAGAACTGGCGTGTTGGAATTGTTGGCACGTTCAGAATCCTTGTGTCGCAAACATATGGACATAAATGTCACTGCTCTAGAGGCGGTGGGATCTGGGAGAATGGAGCCTAACAATGAGGCAGACTAAAGTCTTATGCAACAGACAACTTCATTTAGAGCATCAGACAGTTTGTATTCTGATGGTTAAACAAGATCACATGAGTGATGTTCACATGAGTTCCAACTGTATACAATTACAAGAACAAGACTTGCTTGGTTGAATTTTCTGGTTGACAGAGATAAGTGACAATGGGCAATCTGAAGCAAACCTCACTCCTATTCGCTACGCCTGGGAAGGACATGAAAGCACACTCCAAGGATAACCCGTGTTGTGAAGTAACTGAAGTCACAAGACTCTCATCTTGTTTTCTTGGGGTTTTCTCACAAGCTCTCAGAGTTCTCACACGGCTTCGTTCATGGACCATGTTCCTACACATGAAGACAACTTCATGGCCTCCTGGTTCCATCTTTCTTGGGTTTGAAATAAAGTGACTCTGTTGGTACTGACAGCCTTGGTGTCATTCATTTTGAAGCCCTGAGGTTAAGAGCTAACGTATTTAGTTCTGTCCTCTTAAAAACTTGATCCATTTACCAACATACAGTGTTCCCCATCATCCCTGATAACATCCCTTCTTCTGAAGTCTACTTTGTCTAAAACTAAAATCTTGTTGTTTGCTTAGCATTTGTATAATACGCCTTTTACTATTCGGCATTTAACCTACGTGTGTCTCTAAAATAGACTTCTTGTTGAGTGCATACAGTTGGGACATTGCCCCTTCTTCCACTAGAATAGAATTCTCAAGACTGGGTAGTTTATAAATAATAGAGCCTTGCTTTTTCTTATATGTCTCAAAGTTGGGAAACCACAGAGCATGATGGTAGCACATGCTGTGTCAACTCACAGCAGGAAGTGGAAGTACAAACAGGATGTGAGTGAAATAGCTAAAAGGAGAGGAACCTCCCGTGATGTCATAGCAAACCCATTTCCGGGATGCAGCCATTGATGCCCCCATAGTCCAAACACCTCCTCCTGCCCCACACTGAGGAATTAAGTTTCTAACTCATGTGCTTCTGTGGGACACACTCAACCTATAGCATACTGTCCTCGGCTCCCAAATCCATGTTCTTTTCACGATACAAAGTAACTCATGCCATTCCAGTTGTTTCAAAAATCTTAAATCATTCTAATATCAACTCTCAATTCTCATCTGAGACTGAAGGCAAGTGCCTTCCAGTTGAAAATCAAAATAAGTCACCCTGTCTCAAGGCAATAAAGTAGAATGCCATAGAGGAAGATATCTGATGTTCTGTTTTGGTTTTCACATGAGTGCACACAGGTATGCACACCTATACACTCACGTATGCACCACACACAACATGTACTACACTGCATACCATATACACAACATACATACACAGAGAGGGAGAGGGAGAGGGAGAGAGGGAGAGAGAGAGAGAGAGAGAGAGAGAGAGAGAGAGAGAGAGAGAGAGAGAGGAGAACCTGCTCTATATGCAATGGGGGACGTATTCCAAAAGGGTGAAATAATAGAGAAGGGACCTTGAAGAAGATTGAAAACCAAGAGGAGAGATAGTGAGTTGTGAAACTCCAGAATAATCTTCTGTTCCATGTGCTTCTTCCTAGACATACTCAGGGGAGTTGTGTCCCCGAAGTCCTGGGCAGCCCCACCCTCTAGCTGGACTGGATTCAGGTCCCATGTCCGTTCCCCTGAACTGGAGTTTCACACTGGTGCCTGTGGTCTTCCCAGGTGAGTGCTGCCTGTGCCAGGAGCGCCATTATTCTGAGGTCCCATGCACAGTGATTCCACTCCCACAGCTCCATGGGGCCCATGGGGTGTTGGCCTGGTAAGCATCGCCTGCTGTGACTCCTGCTGGTGACAGATCTGTACATGGCCTCCTGGGGTTTCTGTAGCAGCCTTTGAGGTCTAGGTGGAAGAGTCACACCCCACTCTGAAGTCCTTCTGTGTGCCTGAAGAATTAGCACCATGTGAACGCTGCCGGAGTTCATTGTGTGGGCCACACCTGGGGATGCTTGAGCCTTTGCAGGAACAGCCGGTGAATGCTGCCCTGGGATGCGGGAGAGCAGAATCCCAAAGTGGCCTTGGGCATACATCCTTGGTAATATCCTTAGATTTTCCTCCTTCAGTTCTGGGACTATGGTGGAAGAGACTAAGCTCAGAGATGCTCCTACAGTACTCGGTTCTTTTCTATTTGCGCCGATTTCTTTAAGTTTCTCAGAATTTGCTGCCAAACATGCTTTGTTATAGTTTTCTGGCTAGGCTGCAAATTTTCCAAATCTTCACACTCTGTTTCCCTTTTAATTACAAAATCTGCCTCTAAGTCATGGTTTTCTTCCTCATGTCAGCAGAGGTAGAAGTAACCATGCAGAAACGCAGACGCTATGATTTCCTGTGGAAATCCTACTCCATCACTCACATCGTTCACCTTTTCCAAAGCCCTAGGCCATGAGCACAGAGCTGCCATACTCCTTGCAACTGAAGAGCACAGATGGCCTTAACTCCGGTTCTCAGGAGGGTGGTCCTAGTTTCCATCAGAGAGCTCTAGATATTGCCATCAGCATTCTGGTTGATGACTTAAGCACTCGCTAGCAAGTTCTAAATTTTTTGTGGTCATCTTGCTTTCTTTGTCTTTTAAAATTACTGTTGTTGCTGTTGTTATGTGTGTATGGCATACACGTGTGGGCCCACACATGCCACAGAATGCATACGGAGGTCAGAGAGCAACTTCAGCTCTCTGTTTTCACCTTGGGATACAGGGATTGAACTCATGTTGTTGGCCTTTCATGACAAGACCTTTATCTACCAAGCCATTTTGCCAGACCCACTCTTTTTTCTTTTAACTTTTAAATATATTTTATTTAAAATTTTTTTCATATAATATATTTGATGATGTTTCCCCCTTCCCCAACTCCTCCCAGAACCTCCCACCTCCCTACCCACCCAACTATAGTTCTCTCTCTCTCTTTAAAAAGACCACAAAAACCACAACAATGAAAATCAGAACAAACAAGCAGAGAATCAATAACCCCAACAATGTCAAAACAAAACAAAAAGTCCATGAAACAAAACAAAACAAAACTGGAATTTGTTTTCTGTTAACCATGAGCATGGGGCCTGCCCTGGAGGGTGGTTGACATACCCAGTACACTCCATTGAAAAAACCTGATTTTTCCTATCCCAGCAGGTATCAACTGCAAATAGCTTCTTTTATTTGTTTGTTTGTTTGTTTACATTTAGCAAGGAGGGCCATGTGATCAATTTTGGCGAAAGTTCTGTGGCCTGCTGAGAAGAAAATATATCCTCTAGTGTTTGGGTGAAATGCTCTGTAGATGTCTGTTAGATCCGTCTGATTTATGTGTTATTCGACTCCAGCGTTTCTCTGTTTAATTTTTGTCTGGATGGCCTGTCTACTGGCAAGAGTAGGGTATTAAAGTCATCCACTATCACTTTGTGGGAGTCAATATGTGATCATTTAAGCTGTAGTGGTGCTTCTTTTATGAACCTGGGTGCCCAAACATTTAGATATATAATATCCTCTTGGAGGAGTTTTTCCTTTGATAGGTATGTAGTGCCCTACCCTATCTCTTCTGATTAGTTTTAGTTTAAGTCTATTTTGTCAGATACTAAAATAGTGACAGCTGCCTACTTCTTGGGTCAATTTGCTTTGAATATCTTTTTCTATCCTTTTGTCTATCCTTGCTGGTAAGGTGTGTTTCTTGACTGCAGTAGTAATATGGATCCTGTTTTCTAATCCAATCTGATAGTCTATGTCTTTGTATTCAAGAATTAAGACCATTTAACATCGAGAGTTATTGATAAGCAATGTTTATTAACTCCTGTTATTTTGTTGTGTTGGTGTGGGTCCCTCCTCCTTCTGATTTACTGTTCTTGTTTTATTGATTCTTTGTGTACTCTTGGGTTTTATTCACCTTTTCAGACTGATATTTTTCTTCAAGTGCCTTCTGTAAGAGCTGGACTGTTAAGTAGAAATTGCTTAAATTGAGTTTTATCATGGAATGCTTTTCTTTCTCTGTCCCTTGTGATTGATAGTTTTGCTGGGTATAGTATTCTGGCCTGACATTGGTGATCTCTCAGAGTTTGCAGAACATTCAGGTCTTTCTGACCTTCAGAATCTGCATTGAAAAGATAGGTGTTATTCTAATGGGTCCATCTTTATATGTGACTTAATCTTTTTCCCTTCCAGCTTTTCATATCCTTTCTTTGTCTTGTACATTTAGTATTTTGATTATTAGGTATCATGGGAAAGGTTTTTTTTTTCATTTTTATTTTTCTGTTCCAGTCTATTTGGTGTTCCATATGCTTCTTGTGCCTTAGATAGGCATCTCTTTATTTAGACTGGGGAAATTTTCTTCTCTAATTTTGTTTAAAATATTTTCTGTGCCATTGACCTAGGTTTCTTCTTCTTCTTCTTCCTCTATCTCTATTATTACTATGTTTGTTCTTCTCACAATGACCCAGATTTCCTGAATGTTTTGTGCTTGATTTTATTTTAGATTTAACATTTTCTTTGACTGAGCTATCCATTTCTTCTGATTTGTCTTCAAGACCTGAAGTTATTTCTTCCATGCCTTTTAATCTGTTGGTGAGACTGACCTCTGAGGTTTTTGTTTGATATGCAAAGTTTTTTTATTTCCAGTTTTATATCAGTGTGTGTGTGTGTGTGTGTGTGTGTGTGTGTGTGTGTATTTCTTTGTTAAATTACACTTTCATGTCTTGAAATGTTTTCATTATTTCATTCAACTGTTTGTATTTTCATGGTCTTCATTAAGGCATGTATTCATATCCTTCTCGTGGTCCTTGAGCATATTCATAGTTGCTATTTTGAAGTCTTTGTCTCATGCTTCAACTAGATTGCATTTCTCAGGGCATATTGCAATAGGATTTCTGGCTTCTGGAGGAGACATGTTATCTTGGTTGCTCATATTTATGTTTTTAAACAGGGGTCTAGGCATCTGGAGTTAGGATGTTTGGGGTGTTTTTTGGTGTAGATATCTGGTCTCATCTTTTTGGATGGGTTCCTATCCGTTGGCTGCAGTTGCCCACTCTGGAATCTCATCAGGTGTGGTGTTGTGGGGTCCTTGATAATGTTTCTGCATGTTAGCAGATGTGCTTGTGACTTTTCTATTTCCATGTCAAAACACTATGACCAAGGTAACTTATAAATTAAATTGTTTAATGGGGACTTCCAGTTCCATAGAGTTTCACAGGATAGGTCCATGGCCATCACTGCAGGGAGCATGTTGTTGGAGCAGTAGCCCAGAGCTTACATTCTTATCCTCATGTAGGAGACACACAGAGAGAACTAACTGGGCTTTTGAATGGCAGAAATATTTCAAAACCTCAAAGCCCTCTGTCAGTGACACACCTCCTCTAACATGGCCACACATCTTAATCTTTCCCAAATAGTCCCATGGGAGCCATTCTCATTCAAACTACCACAGAGGGTAAC